CTTACGGGGGGCCGCGCTGAGGAGGTGACGGTGACTTCAGTTTGTTTGAGATGCGGAGGCACGTCCCTGACTAGGCGGGGGGGCCGGGGGCTTTGGTGCGGCCGCTTCGACCTGCGCCGCCGTCCCGCGCGCTCGGTGTTCGGCCAGAAGGCGGGCTCGACTGCTGCTCCAGCCTGACGGAGAGTCCTCTGCCCGCGCTCCTTGTACACTTCGTGTGACCGAAAACATAGCTGCCGAGGTCCTGGCGCTCCGCGGCAGAGTCTGGGTAGATGGATGTGACAGACCGACGTTTACGCGTCCTCCCGGGCAGAGCCCACTCGTGTTGCGTGTGTGCTGCCTTATCAGATCCACATCCCTCTGAGCGGGCCCGAGTTCTTGAATCGCGGGATTCGCGCAGGGACGAACATGAAGCGCACGCACAAGCACAGCCGTGGTTCCCAGCCAGTTCTTCTATTCCAGCTTTTTATGAAAGGGTTACCTGCATTGCTTGATTCAGTAGCAAATACTGGGCTAAATCTGCTTTCTGGGGAGTGCTTTTTAGTTCTCAAGAATCAAAAAAAAGAATGGATGGAATTAAAATAACATGGTTTCTTGTGTAAAAGGAATGATGCAATTCTAGTGCTCATTTTGGTGCTTAACGTAAACATTCTGCTATTTATAGAACAGGAAAACCAATTTTAATTTTTTTTCTTGTTAAACTTTCAACTTGTAATTTCATATCAGTGTGCTGAAATCAGACTGTTTTTGAAGATGAATTTTATTCTAGAGGTATCACTTTCTCTGATTTTGTCTTTTTGTAGTGGGATCTTTGATGACCACTAAACATTCACAGCCACAGTCGACATTTGCAAAAAGTCTAACTTCAACAAGTACAAATACACCTTATTTTAAAACCGCAGGTACAATGTCATGTTCCTTTTGTTATTCTTCTGTGGGCCATTTTCCTCAGTGTCTTGAGTTTAGTAGAAAAGTTCTTGAATTGTGTCTTAGAAACCTATGCGTGCTCTCACGGTGGTAAAAGACATGCTATTATAACACATTATGAATTGCTCTTCAATTACCTTTACAATTAGTCTGGATTGTGTAATTAGAGAATTGCTCCATATAAGATCTTAAAATGAGAGAACAACTAATTAAACTGCCATTATGGTTCATGTGTTTTATACCTTATCAGAATAGTGGAAGTTCTTGAAAGACTCCAACATTCTGCCAGAACTTGTTACTGTTCCATGCTGAGCATAGAAACAGTTGTTGTAGCTCACTAAGGAACACATCAGGACTGGCTGAGATACTGTTCTAGTAATTTAAGAGGGGACTTTGAACATGTACAAACAGCAAGAAGGCTGAGCTAACTGCAGATGTAATGAGACCTGAACTAAAAGTAGGTTATGTGTGTGAGCCTGCTTCCATACCTAAACTGATTATTTCCGCTGAGAAGCACTGGCTGAGGTGGCACTGATCCCTGCGGAGCTGTGTGCTGGTGGTGGTCTGAACCGTGGTGCTGTGCTGTCCTCTCCAGAACTTCTGTGAGGTCCTTGCATGGCACCATGCTGTGTTTGTTCCGTAGCCCACTGGGCTCACACAGGGGTTCCCACAACACAAACTCGTAATGCTCTTCGCTGTGTGATAAGGAAAGCCCTTTATATGGTGTCAGTACCTGTATAATAGCTATAAAACATACGTATATGTTTACTTTAGATTATATAGCTTTGTTTAGTCACTTTGTTTGCCTTCTTAATTAATTCATATATTTCACCCTTCAGAAAGTACAGAAATTCCATCTTATGTGAATAAATGTCCTAGCAACGGGCTCTGCAGTAGATTGCCACCAGACTGTATGACATGTAATACAAACTACTCCTGTGTATATGGGAAGCCAGCCACTTTTGACTGCAAAGTCAAGCCATATGTTCATTGTGTTGTAAGTAACTCATTACTTTTAAACTCAAATTTAAGCCATTTAATTAAACTGTGGCATCTTGTCACAAAATATAAAAAAATGGATTTCCAGGTTCTTACACTGGCAAGTTTGGAGATCTGTGATGCATTGAACCTGACTCAGCTGTAGACTGTTGCTGATGGGGTAGACCTGCCCTTCTCTGTTTTGCCTTTCTGAAGCTGGATCTTTTTGTTAGGTAGCCATGCAATTGCCTTGGTATCAGTTTGTTGAACAACCAAAACTGAACCATTCTTGGAGTGGGGAGGCTGAATAGCTATCCAAGGTACAAACTATCTTACAGATGAGACCAAGTGAGTCCTTTTGGCTGTAGCCATGGTTTGGAGGAAGCACTAATGTTAAACTGCACTTTAATAACTTTGTCAGTTTTCTAATGTATTTTTTCTCTTTCATTTGACTACATAGAGGGTAGTGAAAACAGTAATTGTTACTTTGCTCAAAATGACTACCCATGAAAATGTAATTTGATACTGTACACTCGTTTGTTGGGTGGTTTTGTTTGTGTTTGGGTTTTTTTGTTTGTTTGTTTGTTTTAAAATTTTATTACTGGTGAAGTGATAATGCTGTCATTTTGTAGGATGAGAATAACCATGAGCAGGAGAACTTCACAATTAACATGACATGCCAGTTTTGCTGGCAGCTTGCAACAACTGATTACACATGTACCAATTCTACAAACTGCATGACAGTTTCTTGTCCACGCCAGCGCTACAATGCCACTTGCACCGTCCGGGATCACATTCATTGTCTGGGTAAGGTGGGCTGGAGCAGATTCCATAGAGAAGCTTTTTTTCTAAAGAATTCCTTGATGTTATTTGTAATGGGTAAATACAAGGATTATTCAAGTCCGTTGCAGTAACAGCTTGCACCTTGATTGATCTGTTCAAATTTTAGTTAAATTTTAATTTTTAAACATAATAGTGACCTCTAACTGTAAACCTTGGGTTTTAACTCTGTTGTATACCTTCAAATGAGAGAAAATAGTTCTATTTTTGCCAACCTCTGTGCATTACATGAATTTGGACACTACTAATAGAATCAATATCAAATGTCTCAGTAGGATAACTTTAAAAATTCATAGTAGTTTCCCCCTACTAGTTTAGTTTCCCCCCTGTTTTTTCAGTGACCTTGTGTACTTTCTGATCTGGGACAAAGATTGATCTAACAGAGGACAGCAAAGTATATGTGAGCTTGTGTGTGGACAGGGCTTATTTCAATTAGTGTCAACCCTTCTGGACTCTGTTAGAGGAATAACAGTATCTTCTTGCTTGTCATTTTTATACTGATTATGAGGTCTTCGTTACATTAAGGTTTGGACTTTTTAAAATCTTTAGGTAATCGTGTCTTCCCTAAGATGCTCTATTGCAACTGGACTGGAGGTTATAAGTGGTCTACCGCCTTGGCACTAAGGTATACAAGAACTATTAGATAACATCAAACTAAAATTGATAATGTTATTATAAGTAGTTTAATTGTCTATAAAATCCTCAGTTTATGCATATTTCCTAATGGTGTAGCAAATAGCCAATACTTGTTATCATCTGGCTTAAAATTTATAGCTGTAGGATGCCTGGAGAGTTCACTAGATGACCTAAGTAAATAGAGCTCAAGAAGAAACATTTACACTGTTTCTGCATCAAATGTACTTTCTTCAGAGTAAACAACAACAATTTTTAGGCTTCACGAAGTGATGCATTTTCTGAGTAGAGAGGATGTGTTGGCTTTTATCTGTATGGTGTCAAATTAGGTAGAAATGCTTGAAAAATATGCAGATTTGTAGTTTGTTTGTTTTTTTTTGTTTGTTTGTTTGTTTTTGTTTTTTTTTACCCCATTCATACATGTTTTAAACAATTAGGACTGAAAATTGTCCAAATTACTTCTTGGCATCTGAAATGAATGCTGCTGTTTCTGAATTTGGTAGATGTCACTGAGCTCTCTGTAGTTGGTGTATATATACATTTGTTGTGGCTTCCTTTCCAACTGTAAGAGCTAGAAATGCCTTAAGATGAAGTTGCCTTGCATTTTAAATTATTAAGAAAGATACCAGTGTAGCAATATTGAAAGAAACTATTTAGGTTATTTTTGGAATATTAAGCCATTAGAGCACCATAAAAGTGATTTGAAAGTAACTGAAGTTTTTGGTGGTAAGACCTTTTTCATTAAAGTTTAATACTTCAGAAGTGGTTAATATGTTAAGTAGTGAGACTCTCTATCCCTGGAGCCAAAGACAGAGTAAGACTCTGATGAAGAGAGCGTTTCACCCACTTTCCTCTATAGCAAGAGTTGTTCTCTTTGCCACGCGCTGGAGAAACTTACTGTTGCCTGACTACTGCACAGGGCTGGATTTAGTGTTTGAGTGTTTCTGTAGCTTGTTTGTTAGTTTTTTTTTTAGCTGCTGCTGGCTTAGAAAATTTGAGGCATATTTATAATTTTGATGATTTGGGGTTTTATTGCTTGTCATGACTGAAGAACTGTCAAGTCTGGATAGTGGTAATTAGCTAATAAACAGTGCTATTTTGTCAAAAACTTCCTTATTTAATAATCCAGTCGGCTCTTTTTGTACAAAAAACATACAATTTCTTGACTGATGTAGAGAAAAACTGTCATCGAGTTGTAGGTATGTCAGAAGGAAGTATGTATGGGTATCTAAACTGAGTTTGTCTAAAAATAATAACATTGCATCATGTTTTTATTTTCACAGCATCACCCTTGGGGGATTTGGTGCCGATCGTTTCTATTTGGGCCAGTGGCGGGAAGGTCTGGGGAAGCTCTTCAGCTTTGGTGGACTTGGAATATGGACACTAATTGATGTGCTATTAATAGGTGTTGGCTATGTGGGACCTGCAGATGGTTCTCTTTATATTTAAATGTGGGTGCAGCGTGCTTCAGAGACAAGTAATTGCTTGGAAATAACTGAGTAAAGGAATGTAGAGATTTGAGAATTAAGGTAAAATGAAGAACAATTGTTCTTTCTATGTGCATACGTTTTAATGTACAGTATCTGTACTTAGTTTGCCTTTAACTAAGGTAAAAATAAAAGAGTGGGGCACTGAGTAAGTTGAAATTTATATCCTTTCTTCTATGGCCATGCTATTTTTCTAAGAAAGAGGTTAAACAGCTAAACAAATTCTGCACTGTGCTTGAAATTGGATGATCTGTCAGGCACCAAGAGAGATGCAACTAACTTGAATATTGAGATGTTTACTTCATATTTATGTGCTTGAATTTAACTTTAAAGCTAAGTTCCCTGAATATGTCAGTAATAATTTTTTTTTTTCGTATTTGTGGGAGGATAATTTATTTGCCTGAATGACTGAAGCAGTAAGTAGATCACCATGTTTTGTGATGTCGACTGCATTCATATCTATTTTGGGATATAGCAAGAGCTAGCATTTGCTTAGTGACTTGTTGACTTAACACTGTGGAGCTTTTAGAATTAGATTGCAGTAACACTAAAAGCGTAATACAAAATAATTGAAATAGATTTTAGGGTTGTTCTAGAGTGTCTTTATTTTGGTTGGTTTTGATCTACATATCAGTGAAAGGTACAATTCGTATTCTTGTGCTAGCAAGCCAACCAGGTTAATTTAAAAAAAAGGTTGGCAACGTAATCGATGTATTTATCCACTTAGGACTTCCTAATAAGATTATGTAGCAAACAGTAGTGCCATTACAGAAGAATAACTTGGTTTGGTTGACTTCAGCACACGGGGGTGCAGGCGGCCTGTGGCCGTGCTCTCCCCCGTAGACGGGACTTGAACTGTCGCTGGTGTAGTGCCGAGGTGCCCTAGAGCTAAAAATCGTATCACTTGAATAAACTAGATCTTCAAGCTTTGACGGAATTAAACACCAAGCGTGTTCTTTATGACTTCGCCTTCGCTGCTGCTGCTCCTGCGCTTCCCTGGAGGCGTGGTGGAGGGCGGGAGGGAGCGGGG